CTAAAGCATATTGCCTTTGTTCATCTGAGGTAGATGAAAACTGAGGCAAATGTGTGAGGAATCCTATTTTGATTGTTCAGTTCACTTCATTCAAAAGGTGGCCCTTAGCTCCTCAATGCTGCACACAGGGCTTTTGGTCAAAGTAAAGGCAAGGTTTTCATACATTTTGCTAACTAGGTTTTGGCAGCAGAGTGGTGCATTCCAGGAGCTGTAAGATCTGCAGCTGCAGAACATTTTCCTGGCTCAGTATTAAAGGATTTCTTGTTGGCTGTGCAGCCAGAGGTAGGCATTGGGCTGTTCATAAGAAAATGCTCCAACCAAGTGGCTGAAAGTACAAATAATGACTCCATCTTTGCGCATGTGTGAGGAGGTATTGGGACAACGCCCACCTGCCACGCCTCAGAGGCCCAGTGGAGGCCCTGTGCCGAGCTCGGAGTCCCAATAGAGGCCCTGTGCCGAGCTCGGAGTCCCAATGGAGGCCCTGTGCCGAGCTCGCTGAGTTTTCAGAGTTGGTTTTAGAAGAGGCGCACTGGGCACTAAGAGCTTTTAGCCCCTTTCTTGTTGGACCGCATCGGCAATCATTTCAGAGAGATGTTTGTCTCCGTGGGTTTGTTTAGTGGCTCCTCCATCCTCGTGTCCATGAAGAGTGGCCCCCAAGAGCTGTGTGGAAGAAAGCACTTCAGGCAGGGAACCCGTCTTCTCCCTTCACATCTTGGATCTGGCTAGGAAGTATCGTGAAATGAGAGGGTTGGGTAAGGTCCACTCTTCTGATAGGCCACTGCTGAGGAGTTCTTTGCTTTCTCAACAGTGTACATTTGGGTCTTTTACAAGGTAATGGTTTCCTAACATGCAAGTATAAATTATATCAAGCCTTTCCTCATAAACCTTGAAGGTCTATCCTCTTCTGTCCGATTAAATACATCTTAATGCCAACGTAATGCCATCTGTCATATGGCATGTTCCTTATAGAACACACGTTAGTATTTTTATCACAGTCTCTCTCTGGGCCTACCATCTTTTGTTGTATGTTTGAGGCAGGGTCTCACTACGTAGCCCTGGCTGGCTTGGGACTCACTATGTAGATCAGGCTGGCCTTGAACTCATAGAGTCTCCAACATGGGTGCTGAGAACAAACTGATGATCTGGACAAGCAGAAAGTGTTCTTAACTCCTGAACCATCTCTCCAGACCGTATTTTTGAGTTTTAAGAAGAAAAATCAACAGGAATTGCTTACTTTAAAAAGAGCTTCAAGGATGGCTGTGAGTTAGCCCAATGACGGGATTATTGTAGGTCCACTTCCCAGGGGCCCACCCAATGCAGCCAAAAAGGAGTGCGTGGTGCTGGGAGTGGGTGCAGCCTACATGGCCTAAGACAGGGCTCTCACCCTCCTTTCACCCACATCGGGGTCCCTTGACGTTGCCCATTGTCGACAGCCTAAAGCCTTCGACCATCGATGTGACTCGTCTCACATCAGTGTTTTGGGGTTGTGAACTTGTCTAAGACCCCCCCCATAATTAGACATCCAAATTCAAAATTCACATAGTTGGGATTGATCATAATACACCTTCTCTAACTAAACAGAGAAGGGGGAGATGCCAGAAGCCAGGACCCTCGCCCTTACCCTCACCCCCTACCTTTCCCCACCTGCACAATGTCCTCTGAAGCTTGGCAACTGCAAGATCCTGCTTAGTTACTGCAGATAGACTCAAAGCAGAGTACCATATCTTCTTAAGAATAGCAGGGAGACCATAACTCAAGCAGTGTACCATATCTTCTGAAGAACAGCAGGTAGATCATAATTCAAGGCAGTGTACCGTATAGACCATGACATGTTTCAAGGCACAGGCCAAGAAGATTTTGTACTTTTCCACCACCTGGCCCCTCTTACCCCCTCCCCTTGTAAAACATGCTATAAAAAAGCATTTCATGTTCGAAAAAAAAAAAAAGAAATTAAAAAAAATAAATAAATCAGAAAAAAAAAGAGAAAAAAATAAAAAAATAAAAAGAGCTTCAAGAGCCTCGTATTGCGACCCATGCCTTTAATTCCAGCTCTCAGGAGACAGAAGTGGGCAGATCTTTATGAGTTGAGTTCAAGGCTAGCCTGGTCTACATAGCAAGATCCAGGACAGTCAGGGCTACATAGGAAGGCCCTGTGTCAAAACCAAGTCAAACCCAACCAAACCCAACCAAACCCAACCAAACCCAACCAAACCAAACCAAACCAAAACAAAACAAAACAAAACAAAACAAAACAAAACAAAACAAAACA